CTCAACCCTAAACTCTAAGCCCTACACCCTGTGCTAGTTGCAACGTCAACCTGGCCCCGAGAACCCCAAACCTCGCCCCTGAGGCTCTATCAGATTCTGCCTTTATCAGGTGCACCTGAAGGAATACAAAAATAGTGGCCTTTATATAAAAAAACGGTAGGGACGTTGGGTGTATATGAAAGTATACTATATGCTAATGGGGGACCCCAACCCTAGACCCTAAACCCTGAACCCTAACAGTCCTGGCCCTGGCCCCTAGAGTATCTTGAGCAGGAGGGCAGGCGCAGTGCATCTGCGAGGAGCTGCACTTCCTGTGCAAAGCTTCCAGTGCCGGATTAAGTATCGTTAATGTCAGGATAGTAATGACGATATTCAACGCACAATCACAAGCAACAATGATAATCACAATACTAGCAGTAATGACAACACTAAAAATAACAACATCAATGGCAATATGATGTGATATTCAACAACAATAATAATAGCAAGAATAATAACAAAAAAAGAATAATGAATAATAATACTAATAAAACTAAGAATAACGAAGATGAATAACAACCGTCATGATAGTCATCGGCACCTAAACCCTAAACCCTAAACCCTAAACCCTAAACCCTTAACATTACTCACCTTCACCATCATCTGGCCAAGGGACCCGAAGTCCCTCCATGTTCCGAAAAACCGACGCAGGGCCCTCCGGTTTAGGGCTTAGGGTTTAGGGTTGAGGGTTTGGGGTTTGGGGTTTAGGGTTAAGGGTTAAGGGTTAAGGGTTTTGGGTTTAGGGTTTTGGGTTTTGGTTTTTGGGTTTAGTAGATCTAATACCTGGAAGCTCCCTCCCCATCTGCATGGTGGTCTCTAGGGATATGTAGGGCGGGGGGACCGCATACTTCTACCAGAGGCTTCGGGTGCTCTATATTGTGATCTTACTCATGATGGGGCCCGAAGGAATACTGCTACTAGTCATGTAAGCATCGACATAACATCAAATAGGGTTTAGGGTTTAGGGTTTATAGGGTTTAGGGTTTGTCTATTTCTGCAAGTCTCCAGAGTACAACAGATACACAGTCATCAATGTTGCTGCCTTGTTCCCCTACTCTAAAACCTAAACCCTAAACCCTAATCTGTGAAGCCTATCTTTATAACTATATGTGCATGTTTTCGAAGAGCCCAAAGAGGCCCATATAGAAAGCCTTGCAAAACCCCGTTGTAGAGCCCCTCTAACGCCCATTTATCACCATATCATGCACTTCCAAAAGCCCTAGCATCATATGCAACCCAACACCCCGTGTACCAAATCCCTGCAAAGTAAAAAATCGTACAGCATCCCTCGCAAAGCCATTCAACATAGGGGCCGTAATGAAAAGCATAGGCTTTTTTTATGTTGCAAGTATAAGAAGGAAACCTACGGAACAATATGGAATAATGATACATATATTTCTGACCTCTACTGAAACAGTTCGAAGCCCTAAAAAACACTAAGCCAAACACCCAAAACCCCACACCAAACACCAGAACCTTGACACCTAAAATCCTAAACCTAAAACTCACACTCAAAACCTAAAACTCTAACTCAAAAACCCACCTAAAGCCCTCAACCCTGAAAACGTAAAATCACAAACCCTAAGCCTTAAACTAAACCCTAAACCCT